TTTCACTGCAGGTCCCATGGAGGTGGAGAAAATAGACAACCAGAAGCTCTTCCACCAGATGAAGAGGAAGAAACGCGTGGCCAAGAAGGCGCGCGTTATGTCCCCGCAAGCTTCAGCCGAGCCCCAACTTCCGCAGATTTCTGCCTCGGAGCCCGAGGTTGTAGCCGCGCCCGTCATCGACTTGGAAGAAGGGGTTGTGCCTAAGGGGCCCGAGGTGCTGGCGGAACCTGTCGTTAAGCCCACTGAGCCTGCTGCCAAGCCCACCAGACTTGCTAGAGAAAGCGTTGTCAAGGCCAAAGCTGCTGCTGCCAGGGCTCATCCTGTCGATGCTGCCGCCGAGGCCTCTGAGAGTTCCACTCACAATGTGGAGATGACAACTTCCAGCTCGGAGGGTCAGGGGAGCCAAACCGTCCTGAACCCCCAGTGCAGCCTAAAGAAGAGTAACCTGGCTGCATACTCGGGGGAGGTCAGCGAGTGGGCCGAACTCACTCCTGGTCAGCTCGGCGCCCGAGCTGCCACTCATACTATGGTGGTGAGTCCCCCTTCTTTTTTCCTTTTCTTCTTTTTTTTTTGTTGGTCTCCCTCTTAACCGGTTCTCCCTTTTGCAGGTGAACTCCGCCATTCCCGCCTTGACCCTCCAATCAGATCGACATCTGAGGCGGGCTTTGGAGACTGAGAAATCATCTCGCGCAGCCCATACTGAGTTGAGGGCAGCTCGTTGTTAGGTTCACCGCTTGGAGAGTGACGCCTTGGCTCAAAAGAGCTTCATCGAGGTGTTAATGTCAGAGAAGGGGGAGCTGGCTCGAGACAAAGACAAGTTGAGGGCCGAGGTGAATGACCTCAAGGTCGGTCAGGAGGCCTTAGGGCTCGAGGTGAGCAGCCTCAAGGCTGAGCGGGATGCCCTGAAGCTCGAGGTACAAGGCCTCAAGGAGGCGAAGGGGAAGCTGGAGCATGAAGTGGAGTACCTCTAGGAGGACATAAGGGAGAAGACTACAATCTTCGAGAGTGCTCTCGAGGAGGCCAAGACTCAGGCCTTCATTGACTACGTCAACTCTTCGAGATTCGACGACGTGATGACGGAGGCCTACCGTAAGGGCTTCAAGCTCAGTCGGTGGCTGATTAGGCACCTCTACCCCGAGTTGGACACGAGCGCCATCACTACTTCGTGGATTATTGACGACATCGTGCGTTAGTCAAAAGATGACCCCGATTCCGAGGATGAGGGCGCCGAAGATGGAGCAGAGGATGCCGGTCCAGATACTGTCCTCGAGGGGGTCCCTGATAGAGGCAGTGAGCCCCCGAAGTAGTTTGCTCTTTATATTTGTAACTTAATCTTTTCCCTTTCTGAACTGTGAATGTACTACCCTGAGCCTTTGAGCTCAGGTAAAAATTCTTGTACCTGAACTCTCTTTTTAATGAAATATAGTTTCTTTCGAGTATCTCTGAGTGCAAAAATACTTCTAAGTGTGAGTGGACTCCAAGCTGGTCAATTCAATGTATAGGTTACCCGAGCTGTCGAGCCACCGAGTTGGCGGTAAGGGTAACTGAGTGAAGTTGTGTTACTTCGGGTTGCGCGGGTTACCCCGGACTATCGGGCTACCGAGCTGAGTAAGAGCAGAAAGGGTGTAGACATCGTAGGGTTCATACCCAAGCTGTCTTTCCCTTAAGGGTTAGAGATAACTAGGTTTTTGTCAGTTTGGCGTTTTGTGGCCGTTAGGCTTTGGGAGGGATTCGTAGTCCGTTCCTGAATTTCCCCCATGCCGAAGTGGCACTTGGCTTTTCTTGTGCACTCTTTATCTTTGCTAAGTATGGTGTAATGAAAGTTCTTCTTTTTCTCCTAAGTATGGTGTGCACTCTTTATGTTTTCTAAGGCGATCTCAACACCCGAGCTATTAGAGCTGCGTACCCGAAGTGAGTGACATAGTAGGGTACATGCCCGACCTGTCTGCACTCGGGTTAAGTTGACATCGGTTGTCCTTAACGGGTTCAACTTGTTGCATTTCAGGGCGGGCTATTCGTTACAAGGTTCATGCCCGAACCGCCTGCACCTTGGGCGTTGGAAGTACTTAGTTCATGCTGATGAGGCGACTAAGTCTTGTACGCTGCCGAGGTCTTTTCATTAGCTCGGTGTTTTAGCCCTTAGGTTGGAGGAGTGGCTCGTGGCCCACTCTCGGAGTCTGCCCATGCCATAGAGGTGACTGGGTCCTGTTGTGCCGAGGTCATGTTAGCTCGGTATTCTGGCCCTTAGGCTTTGGGAGTGGCTCATGGTTTACTCTTGGATTTCACCCAGCCCAAAGTGGTGACTGGGGTCTTGTTGTGGCCCTTAGGCTTAGGGAGGGACCCGTAGTCCGCTCCTAGATTTCACCCAGGCCGAGGTGGCAACTGGGGTCTTCTTCTGGCCCTTAGGCTTAGGGAGTGGCTCGTGGCCTACTTGATTCTTACAGATAATATTGTCTTAGGTTGACAATATTCCATGCTCGAGGTACTTGTTTCCCTTCGAGGGTCTCGAGCTCGTATGTTCCTTTCCCGAGCACTCGTTTCACTCGGTAAGGACCTTCCCAGTTGGACCCGAGCTTACCAGCGCCGGGCTCAAGTACCATAACTTTACGAAGGGCCAGGTCGCCAACGCGGAGGTTCCGCTTCTTGACCCTGGCGTTATAGTACCGAGCTACTCTCTGCTGGTAGACTGCGGTCCTAATGTACGCGAGGTCCCTTACTTCGTCGAGTAGATCGAGGTTGGTACGTAGCTCATCTTTGTTTGTCTGATCACTGTATGCTTCTAGTCGCAGCGTAGGTACTTCGATCTCTGCGGAGATCACTACTTCGGTGCCGTAGGTGAGACTGAAGGGTGTTTCTCTCATGGTGGTCTTCTCCGTGGTCCAGTAGGCCCATAGAACACTAGGTAGTTCATCTGCCCACAATCCTTTAGCTTGGTCCAACCGTGCCTTTAGTCCGCGGAGGATGGCTCTATTCGTGACCAGTCTTGAAATTTGATGTCCTCGAACTGCTTGCCGTTGTCGGAGATCAATACCCGAGGTAATCCGAAGCGGCACACGATGTTCTTCCAAAAGAAGTTTTG